TCAATCACTAGTCACAAAACCACCCAATCCCTTGGCAGAACTCTTACCAATACCCTGAAGACCCTCTCCCTAGGAGAGAATGCAGATAATAAATGGCACCTTGTTCTTGCTTGGGCCGACCTGAGCCATGTAAAGGAGTTCTAGAAAAAAACTTAAGGAACCCCTATTCTGAGCTCCCCAACAGTAGCAAGAGTTCTGAGGATACAGGCTCTAGGACTCAATCTTGTTGCCCTCAGGCCTTCTCTCTCCTCCCCTCTCTGTCACCTTTCCAGAGTCCAAGTTGACCTACACAGGGGTAATTAGGTAGCTAGGGGATAATAACTGAGCTATTAATAAACTGGCTGAGAGTGTGAACAAGGAAGAGCCATGGGACCCTTTTACAATATGCAGGGAGGCAGCAAGGAAAGGAAAAAAAACCTGCAAATGCTCACTCAGCTTAATTCACCCCCTCCCCAACCCACACACAGTGGTTGTCTCAAATTTCAATCCCGGGGGATGGGAAACTCAGACATGCTGCAGGTGAAACAGGACAGTTCACTGTACTTTAGGACAACCCAGCAGCAGGTATTTGCATGAGGGGAAAGGAGATGAAAAGTTAGGAAGAGGGATGGGAAAGATCAAGACAGGAGGAGGGGAGGCAAGGCCAGGGATGAGGAAGGACAGGGTCGTTCTGTTCCCATTCAGACTGAAAACTCTGGGGGGAAGTTCTTCAAGGACACAAAGAACCAAACCTTCCAGGCACCTGACATAAAGGAGGAAGGGCAAGGGAAGGGAAAGATCTGAGTGGGAAGATGAGCATAAATAGGATATAGCTAGCCAAAAAAAAGCACTCTTCCTTGGGATAGCCAGAAGGACCTCATGGTATTGAGATCAGAGAACCCCAATAAAACTCAGTTTTCTTAGGAGTGTAAGTACATACCTCAACTTCTGGAAAGTCCAACATACATTAATCAGACTCTTCAAACTGACTTAAGAAGTTAGCTGGTCCAACTTCCCCATTTGACAAATATAGCAACTGAGGCCCAGAGAAGTGAAATCAGCAGCAGCCTAAAGTCATACAGAATGTCCTTTCTATGATGCACCTTTCTGGATCCCCCAGATGCCAAGGCCCTCACTCTCAAATTCAACTTATTTGTCGACGTTATCTCCCTTTATAGAATATAAAGCCTTATTTGAAGGCAGAAACTGTTTCATTTTTGGCTTGGCACAAAGTAGATGCTGAATAAATGGAAATTTATTAATAAGTGGAAAGAGTGTTGATTGACTTCCACATACCAGCTACTGGTCAGAAAACAGACATATTAAGAGAGTGATCACCAAGGATGAAACAAAAATTTTGCAAAGGTTGGTCCATTCTCTTGGCAAAGTGAATTCCTGTAGTATTCCTTTAGTGAGTTCTAGGACATTTACAGTATATTTACAAAAATTTATTTTACACATACAACCTTTCAGAAAGGTACCCACTGTTTCAAGCAGAGGCAGGATAGCATATTTTCCACAGGGGCATTTTATGCTACATGCCTAGCCTTATGTCCTGGCAGAGAGGAGAGGGTGGCCCTGAAGAGATGAGCAAACCTCAGCTCTCCTTGTGGCCATACAACTCTAAAGAGCTTTGTAAGAGCTCAGGGATGTGTGATTATTATCATTAATCACGAGACCATCAAGATCTTGACATCAAGGTTGAGGTTCCAAGACCAGCTTTGAACATCAAACATCCCTCCCTCCCCTATGTCTATCTCCTGCTTTTATCTTCTATTAATAACTAGTAGAGTGAGAAAGCAATGAGCTGGCATACTTCTGAGTGAGAGGTGGAGTAATTTACAGGTAAGAGTTATCAGACTTTGTCTGGGTTCCCTGGGGAGTGGGGTTTTAGTCAAACATTAGCAAGCTGAGCAGTGCCAGGCTCCACAGCGTGGACAGAGCCTTGTGGGATCAGCTATGAAAATTCTAAGGCTAATTAATGGGAGTAGACAAAGAGGGCATGGGATGGAAGGAAGAAACAGAAATGCTACTGTGTTGCTTCCCCATCCTCTCCATCAACTATTTGCATTTCCAACTTCTCAGATAGGCAAGAAAATGCTTGATTCACTGGCCCCTGGGAAAACCAACAGTCAGTCAATATGCAATTAACAAGAATTAAACCGACAGCCAGGTGAAGCAGGGAAGCACCTTCATAGGATCATAGTCTTAGAGCCACTGGGGACCTTTAAGGTCATCAAGTTCAACCTGTTCATTTTAGAAATAAGGACACTAAGACGCCAAGAGGTTGAGTTACTTGCCTATGATCACACAGCTAGTAAGTGCCTGATATGGGACTTGAACCCAGGTCCAAGTCCAGTGCCCTACTTACTATACCATAAAGGAGGAACCCTGAGATTGGCTAGGAGTCAAGGTTAATACCATAGAGATGTAGATTTGGAGCAAGGGACCGTAAATAGGGTGAGGCATCTACTTATTACAATGTTTCTAGTAGGTAGAAAAGGAAGGGAGGGATTATAACACATTTTAGCCTAGCAAAGACCGAAACTGAAAAAAGTACCAGCTCTGCCTCCCTAGCTCATCCTATCCTGTCCAGTCCTGTACTCCTTAATGGGAATATATTGTTATTTGCTCAGATAGAATACTTCAGATAGATAACTTGATAAGCAGGATGTGGAAATAGTGGTAAGCATTCCTTCCCCTTGAACCCATACCAGGAGAAGGGGTAAAAGATTGGAAGACACCCAGAAGATCCAGAATACTTGGGTCCAAAATGTGGTTCTGACACCTGTGTATCATTGGACAAGTGATGCCTCTCTGTGTGTCAGTTTCTTCATCTGTAAAGTGAGAGCATTTGATTAGATGATGTCTAAGGGTACTTCCAGGGCAGCTAGGTGGTGCAGTGGATATAGTGCTTCGTTTGGAGTCAGGAAGACCTGAGTTCAAATCTGGCCTGTGACAGTTACGAGCTGTGTGACCCTGGCAAGTCACTTAACCCTGTTTGCTTCAGTTTCCTCATCTGTAAAATGGGCTGGAGAAGGAAACGGCAAACCACTCCAGTCTCTTTGCCAAGAAAACCCCAAATGGGGTCATGAAGAGTCAGACACGAATGAAATGACTCAACAACAAAAAAAAAGGTCCCTCCAGCTCTGAATCTCTTTTTCCTTTGGTCCAGAGCTGTGGTTTCACTTATGTGTTGAATCCTTCAAGTGGAAACATGTGCCTGGCACACAATAGGTGCTTTAATTAAGTGTTCACTGATTGAATGAATAATTGCAACTTTCTCTGGGGACACAGATCAGGTTTCTATAACTTCTAGTGAAGTGAACCGACTTGCCTAGGGTCACACAGCTAGTGTAAGTCAGGGGTAAGACTTGAACCCAGTCCTCGGCCCACTACAGCACACTGCCTCCTCTTGATGTTATGAATAATAATTATCACTGATCTTTATACAGCACTTAGACTTTTTTTTTTATCTCATTTTATACATGAGGAAACCGACTCAAAGATAAGAAGTCATGAGTCCATGGTCATCTAGCTAGTAAATCTCGGAAGTGGTTAATCCTATGAGTCTATGACCTACCACAGCAGGACCCCAAGGAGAAACATTCTGTTTCATAAACAGAAAATTCACCCATGAAAAGTAGGAGGAGTGGAAGGCTTTGTTTTAAGTCAGACAAGCAGTAAGTGCCTACTATGTGCCAAAGTACTAGAGATGCAAAGAAAGGTAAAAACAGTTCCTGACCTCAAGCTCACATTCTAATGGGGAAAGACAACTGATAGATAACTAGGTACATTCAAGATATATGCAGACTAGATGGAAGATAGTTTCAGGGGAGAAGGCACTAGCAGCTGAGAAGGAAGAAGGACCAGGAAAGGCCTAGTGGAGAAGGTGGGATGTGAGCTGAGTCTTGACAGAAGCCAGAAACTATGAGACAAGGTCAGAAGGGAGAGTATTTGGGCAAGAGAGACAGCTAACACAAAGATTTGGAGATAGGAGATGGTGTGTTTATGAAACAGGAAGTTGGCCAGGGTTGGCCAGCTCATAGAGTATATGTAAGTGAATATAGCACAAGAAGACGGGAAAAGTAGGAAGGGTCCAGGTTGTAAAGAGCTTTAATGCCAGAGGACTTAATTTGATGCTGGACATAATAGAGATCCCCTGGAGTTTATTGAGTAGGGGGTGACATGAGCACATCTCTCCTTTAGAAGATGTTAGACTTTAGATTAGAAGATTTAGATTTTAGGGGCATAGGGAAGATCAGTTGGAATGAAAAACTTGAGGTAGAGAAACCAGTTAGAAGGCTATTGCAATAGCCCAGGGAGAGGAATAATGAAAGTTTCACCTAGGATAGAGGCTGTATAAGTGAAGAGAAAGGGAAGTATGTATATGAAAGATGTTATGCAGGTTGAAACAGCAAGATTTGGCAACTGAAAAAATATGAAGGGTTAGAGTGAGAAGATGAGGATAACACGGAGGCTGCAATCCCAGGTAGTGCCCTTAAAAGTAACAGGGATGTTTGGAAGAGGGGAGAGTTTGTGGGGAAAAGGAAATAATGATTTCTGTTTTGGACATTGTTTCAGAAGCAGGGAAAGGACTCCCACTTTGACTACAAAAAGCTCAACCCTGCCACAGCATTTGTGTTCTCAGGCTGTATACTAACAAGATCACCATCATTAACATTTGTAAATCACTTCAAGGTTTGCAAAGGACTTTACATGCATTATTTTACATACATGTATCTTTATATATATTATATATATACATATGCATATATAATATACATTATACATACATTTCCCTCCCCATTATCAAGTGGGGAGCCCCACAGGAAAGACCACTAGACTTGAACTCAGGGGACCTAGCTGAGCCCCAGCTCTGCTATTTACTAACTGTGACTATGATTCTTAACCTCTCTGATTCTCAGTTTCCTGAAAAGGATAATATACTACCTGCTTCACAGGGGTGTTGTGAGGGGAAAAGGCTGTAAACTGGAATGGCATTATTCCTCAATACTCACAACACTTCTTCTCTGACTGCCTAAGATTAGTAGCCTGTAGAACATGACTGTTCTGTTCTGGGGTTGGCACTGGATTCCCAGACATGGCAGTTCAGTGCTTGAGGACTTGAGGTTCCGGGGAGCTTCTGGAAGAGACAGGAGAGGAGGCAGGTGAAGGAAGGGAAGGAGCAAAACACGCCCCCCCCCCCCGCAATTCCCGAGGGCTCCCACCCCAACCATACTCATAAGCGGAAAACAAGAGATTAGGCAATTAGCAAGTAAGAAATCCAAAGCATCAAATACATACTCACTGGACCGTTCTGAAAAAAAAATGTTAGGTGGGAAAGTAAGTCTCTGTGAGCAGGAAGCTGGTCCGTGAGAGGAAAACAGAGGGTAACAGGAAGCCAAGACAGCTTCAACATGTTACTCGTCCTCCTGGGTTCCTAACACCACTTCCAACCCAGGTCATCCACACACTCATCCACATCACCAATGCTCCTGGAGCAGGAGGAATTTCTAGATTTTAAGCGTAAACTGAGGCCCACGAAAATTAAGTGACTTTCCCAATATGATACTAAAGGACGAAGGTTCTTCACCTTCACCAGAAACTGGGTGCTGTCTCCTCCTGACTGGGGACTCCTCCCCACCTGCGTCCCCACCCCCATCCCCCGAAACCAGACTGCCAGGACAGGGTCGGCTAAGGAGGTGTTTGCTTCTTTAAGAGGCTTTCACAGTCCTTGCACGGCCTTCAGAGTTCCCCTTCCTTCTACACTCCCAAGTACCTCCAGGGTTGCCGGTATCTGAATATTTCCCGCAGCCTGCAATGCAGCGGCACAAGGGCTCCCTGATTTATCATCCTCCGGGTTGTTACACAAATGCATCGACCGCCCCTCATCCTGCCCAGCCCCAGGCCCCATCCATCCTAGGCGCTGCGCAGTAACTCCTCACCTTGTGATCCCAGCGTAGGACCAGCGAGTCCCCCGGGAGCCCAACCGCACCGCAGGCAGGGCCAGGCATGCAAATCACATTCAAATCAACTGCCCGCTTAGCCCGGCCCACTCTGTGACCCCACCCCCCTGCGAGTGCTTTCACCTGGAGCCTACAGTTGGCCAATCTGAAACCGCAGAGTCTCAGGAGGCTGTGCTCTTGCTGGAAATGATGACGCCAACGCCAGACGGCAGGAGGGGATGCCGAAAGGACGGATTATATGCCCTCAGGTTGCCTAGCAGGGCGGAGGATTGGCTACCCTGTTGCTGAGCAACCCGAGAGCTAGAGCTATTGAAAAAGCAAGAGTTTTCTTTAAAATCTCGCGAGAACAGCAACCCAGCCCACTCCTCAATGAAATAAATTAAACAGATGTCCTCTGAGGGTGTGGTCTGATATTAACTCTTTTATTCCAGTGTCCCAATGGAACTCAGTCAAAAAAAGTTTCTACATGTTAAACTGTGGTTTTGGAAAGGAACTTTGTTAAGAAGAGATCCACATGAGCGTGTCTTCATTTTCCTAAGATACCCTTCAAATGTTCCCTTCCTGGGCTTGAGTCTCCCGTGTAATAGGGTTCATGGCCAGTCCCCCCAGCATCACAGGACCAAAGACGTCATGTGCCCCCTAATCCATCCAGTTTCCTACTTGACTTTCCATCTTCCACCTTATCCACTGACTTTTGTCAGAGTCAGGCTTGCACAACAGTCTGGCAATAAACCAACTGTACTTTTGACCAATAAGAACTCAGAACCCTTAGCTTTCAGTTAGTATCAAACTTTGGAAAGTGGATAAGACATTTTATCCAGGTAGGGATCCAGGTCTCAAGAGCTGAGGAGAGTGTAGAAACGCTATCCATAATGCTAGGAAGTGAAGAGGCTTTCTCACCAGGATATATTTGTGAGCCCCAAGAAAACAGCTTATTGCTAGTACTGTAGATGTCACATGTTTTGTAGGTATAGTCACTCTTTATAGTACATAGGTACACCCTATGTCAATACTATTCATGATACACTCACCTTTAATTCAGAGACTTGCTGCTGCTGTGGGTCACCCATAGGTTCAAGGGAAGAGCTGTGGAATAGGAGTTCTTAGAGCATAATGTCTGGGTCTCTCCTTTACCCTCATGACATTTCCCTCTGTATCATATTTATTTGTGTACTTCTTGTTGGCTTCTCCCTTACTGGATCTTAATATCATCGAGGGCAAGGACTGTGTAATTTTTCATTTTTCATATCCTTAGTGCCTGGTCTTTGCATCTAGTACCCATTTAAAAAACCCTTTTTTGAATGAAAGGTCACATGTTGTAGCTATAGGAAGTACTGGATTTTGGCATCAGAAGACCTTAGTGAGAATCCTGGCTCTGTGATTTACTATTTGTTAACTGCCTGCTGTTACTCACAGATCCTTTGTCACTCTGCCTTTGTACTCCTTCCCATGCCTGAACACGCTCTCTCCACTCTTTCACCCCCTTCTAATCTTTGTTTCCTTCAAAACACAGCACAAAGGCTACATCCCACATGCTTTTTCTCATTACCTCAATTGCTAGTGTCTCCCACCCAGTTACTATGTATTTATTCTGTATGGACATTGCTTTCTCTGTGAGAATGCTGTCTCAAGCCACAAGAATATAAAGTCATTGGAGGCAAGGACTGTTTCACAGATGATTTTGTGTGGCTAATACCTAATACAGAGCCATGTATATAGTAGGAGCTTAAAAAAATCTTGTGGCTTGATTAAAGTGCAAAGTATGTAATTAATAGTAAACAGCATATTGAATTTGAATTCTGGGAAATTAAGTTTTAAATTTTGCCTCTGATACTTAGTAGCTGTGTGACTATAGACAAGTTACTTTATTTCTATAACCCCAGTTTTCTCATATGTGAAATAGTGATAATACCTAGCATTTGTATAGTATTTTAAGGTTTGTAAAGCATTTCACATATGTAATCTCATTCTGACCCCACAACAATACGGGAAGTTAGGTGCTATTTTTGTTCCCATTTTGTAGATGAAGAAAGGAAGTAGTCAGAAGCTAAGTGACTTACCTTGGGTCATGCAGCTTGTAAGTGTCTGAGGCTGAATTTGAACTCAGGTCTTCCTAACTCCAGGTCCGGTGCTCTATGCACTATAACTATGCTATGACTATGCATAATGATGATGATGACAACTTATTATTATTAACAGTATACATTATGTAATAAATATATTACTATAATACTATATACTATACAATACAAATATTATATCATATATTAATTATATTATATTAATATACCAACCAAATGAAAATATATCATATTAATATAGATATAAATAATAAATGTTATTATGTAATATATTAATATTATAAATACTTATAGATTATGTGATATATAAATCATATAGCATATACCAATAAATGGACATAATAAATATTATGCAGCATGTAATACACATATATTGTTCTATATATATTTACATATTAGTAAATACATTTGTGTTTTATTTATATTTATGTAATGCTTACATAATATGTGGGTGATATATAATATATGAGATAATTGTATATATACTATTAATTTATGACATTAAAGCATGATGATATAGTTCAAATGATGATGATGATGATGCTCAAATTATATAATGATGATGAGTTCAAATTATATAAATTATTATGAAATATATACACATTACAATAAATATATATTAATTTTATATTATAATATATCATGTGATATAAATGCTAGAAGATATAAATTATTATTATTATTATTGTTATTATTATTATTTTGTATCTTGCGTGGTCCAAGGCAGTACCTAAGCAGCTCGGCAGTGCAGTGGATAGAACACAAAGCCTGAAATCTGAAAAACCTGAGTTCAAATTTGGCCTTAAACACTTACTAGCTATGTGACCCTAAGCAAGTCACTTAACCTCTGTGAAATGGAGACAATAGCCCCTACCTCTCAAGGTTGTGGTGAGAATTAAATGAGATAATAATTGTAAAGCACTCTGCACAGTGTCTGACACAAAGTAATCGAGTGCATATATACACGTATGTATGTATGTATATATGTGTATGTACACATACACACACACATACATATCTGTGTTATAGAGCTATCTATTATTATAATGTGTGTAAGCCACTTAAAAATTGTTTTAAGTGCCCCGTGTGCAAATTGTTATTATCACGATCTGAAATGTGTGCTTTTGTTCTTTACAGGTGACACTTGGGCTTCCGAGACTGATCCGGACCTCCCACGAATTCCCTTTAGATGTGACAAATTACCTCGTGCTGTTTACTCTGCATTGAGGCTTAATGAATACTTTAGTCCACTTAAAGCGGGTGAGTCAGCGTTGGGGACCGCCACCGGTCGCTCAGCCCTTCCTTTGTTCTCCGTCTGAAGATTCTTTTCGTTCCTGCTCAGTAAGTGTCAGATGTGGTTATGGTGCATTTCTGACCTCTTAGCAAGTGCGAAGGGGCATTCCAATCCATTGAGTGAGCGTGTCCGGCCACCGCGCCTAGGTGATGCACGCCTTCGCTGCTGGCGGACCGCCAGGGCACGTTCCTGGTTCCTGCCGTCATCCAACCTGCAGAGCATCCTAGGATGGAGGAGGGCTGGGGAACAAGAGCGTGGGAGAAAAAAGGGTGTTGCCCCTTTAAGACTGTCCAATCTTCCAAGAGGGTTCTGACCGGACCGGCGGAAGTCTCGCGAGCACATGCCCCTCAGGGGGCGGGGAAAGGGGGGGGGGCGTGGCGACTTCTCGCGATGTTTATCTCGGCGAGGGGCGACCATTTTAGTTTCCATCCGCCGGCCGGTTGCCCCGGCGGCGGCGTCTCCCTCCGTCCGGCGGTGTCCCAGGCAGGCCCCGGGAGGTGTCCGGCGGGCGGGCGGGCGCGATGTGGCGGCTCCGCTGCAAGGCCAAGAACGGCACCCACGTCCTGCAGGGGCTGTCGAGCCGGTCTCGCGTGCGGGAGCTCGAGGGCCAAATAGCCGCCGTCACCGGGATCGCCCCCGGCGGGCAGCGGATCCTCGTCGGCTTCCCCCCCGAGTGCCTGGACCTCAGTGACGGGGAGACCATGCTGGGGGACCTGCCCATCCAGTCGGGTAAGGACGCCGGCCTGCGGGCCCCGGAGGGACCCTCGAAGGGGAGGAGGAGGAGAGGAGTGCCGGGACTGGGTGTCCAGGCCCTGGCACGAGCGCGCCCGCAGGCGGGCAGGGGCGCTGGGACACCGGCTGCAGGCCCCGGGCCCGGGGGGAGCCGGTGAAGCCCGGGACCCGCTGCTGTCTCTAGTGCGGTCCTGGGAGACAGGGCCTGGGATGCATGTGCCGCATTTGACAGGTGAGGAAACTGAGGGCTCAGTCGGGTGGCCCGAGGATGCCGGGGCAGAACTGACTATCCCCTCCGGTCTAACCCCCCGCCCTCGCCCCAAACGTTGGGGCCGCCGTCTCGCAGCTCAGACGTTTTCTCTCCTTCCCCAGAATTTTGCAGGCGTGAGGAGTTTCTGTTGCTCCCTTTTCGTTCGACGAGCATCTTTTCATGGACCAGGTCCCCAAGGTCTCCCTCCTTTGGCCAGCTTGTGCCTCCCCCACCCCCCAAAACTGGGAGATGGAGATGGAGTGAAGGAGAGGGTCTGTGGGGAGAGGTTATGCTGTTCTCTGAAAAACATTTCCAAGTTTAAGTCATTTTCTATATCATACTTATGGGTACTAGGTTATTTTAAGTTTAGTTTTAGCATAATAGCTTTTAAAGGTTCTCTTAATAGCCTTCTTCTGCTCTAACCAGTAGCAATTATTTCTGTTGACAACTGAAACTTGAAGAGCAACTTCTCTAATTAGCACCTTATCGCAGTGGTGTCAAGAACTCTCAGAAAAACAGAGTAGTCAATATCTTGCTTCTCAGCACACCTCCTAGTGGCCAAGATGAAGATTTTTTTTTCTTTTCTTCTCTGGTTTTGTTTTCTTTATTTTAAGTAAGTTATAGAATAGCAGATTCCGAGTTAGAAGGGACCTTAAAGGCTGCCTACTGTGATGCCTCATCAAGAGGTGACCCAGGGTTCTTAAAAGGTCTGACAGGTTTTACCAGATTGGAAAGACTTTAAACATTCCCCCAGGAATAGACTAATTTGTCGTTGTGAGGACTAGCCTGGTTAAATTCAGAGAGGCTTATCGCCAGGTTGGCTTCAGGCTAACAAATTTTTTGGTTGCAGCAACTCTTTTAGAATATCTGTTAAATTCCAGAGGAGTTGTAATCTACATCCACTGAGTGAATACCTACAACAATAATAACAGTAACGATGATAACTAAGATTTATATAATACTATGTGCCAGGCTCTGTGTTAACTGCTTTACAATTATTATATCATTTGATCCTGACAACAATCCTAGGAGATAGAATAGCTTTGCTATCCCCATTTTACAGATGAAGAAACTGAGGCAAGAAGGAGTTAACTGATTTGTCCAGGGTCACACAGCTAGTAGGTGACTGGATTTGAACTCAGGTTTTCTTAACTCTATGCCAGATGCTCTATCAGCTTTGACACCTAGTTGCCTCACACACTAATGAAGTTGTAGATCCTGTTAGAAATCTTCGATTTTGCATTTTTTCATATAATCCATAAACGATGTAGAGGTACAGCTAGATTCCCCTGGTTAAATTGCAAGGCAATATGAATTAAAACAAAACAAACAACAATAACCCAAGGAAGATACAGAAAGGAATGAATGCTTATTAGGCACTTTTTACAAAACTGTTTTATCAGTAACATGCTTTACAGACTAGCTAGTCAGCCGTATTTTATCTAAACATTCTTTTGCAGTTCTGGATGTGCTTTATTTTTAACAGGTGATACCCTGATCATTGAAGAGGACAAAACCAAGCATAAGACTTCATCTTCTGCACTTACAAAACATGGTGCTCATACTTCATTCAGGGAAGTTTTGCCTGTGCTTACCAGAACAGTGGTCCCAGCAGATAATTCCTGCCTTTTCACCAGTGTGTACTATGTAGTAGAAGGGGGAGTTTTGGATCCAGCTTGTGCCCCTGAGATGCGAAATCTTATAGCAGAGATAGTAGCAAGTGATCCAGAATTCTACTGTGAGGCATTATTGGGAAAAACAAATGAAGAGTACTGTGACTGGATTAGAAGGGACGACACTTGGGGAGGAGCTATTGAGATATCCATTTTGTCAAAGTTTTATCAATGTGAAATTTGTGTAGTGGACACTCAGACAGTCAGAATTGACCGCTTTGGGGAAGACGCTGGCTACCCCAAAAGGGTACTACTAATTTATGATGGCATCCACTATGATCCACTTCAGCGAAACTTCCCTGACCCAGACAGCCCTCCTTTGACCATCTTTTCCTCCAATGATGACATTGTTCTTGCACAAGCATTGGAATTGGCAGATGAAGCTAGAAGAAAGAGGCAGTTTACTGATGTAAACCGATTTACCCTGAGATGCATGGTGTGCCAAAAGGGGTTAACTGGACAGGCAGAAGCAAGGGAACATGCCAAGGAGACTGGCCATACAAACTTTGGAGAGGTGTGATCTGTGCAGGAGGAGGCATTGTCTACTACCTCAGTCATCCAGAAGGCTCTGGGTTTTCCAATAAGCTCTCTGTAAACCTAAAAGACAAGATGACATAATGCTTGAAACACCCTTTTTACTTAAGACAATGAAGACACTAGAATTCCTTGTTAAGATTAAAATTAGTGTGCAAGTTTACAGATCTGTGTCTACAGTGGTGATACATGCTCTCTTCCTGCCAGGTGTGACAGTGAGTGGTGCCCTGACACTAGCCTGAAGAAAGTTATTCATACAAGCTAGCACTGAGCAGCATTAACTGATGGAAGAATACACCTGGTACATTTGGGGGTAATGTGGAAGGCTTCATGTGACACCACTGCATATGCACATAACAGTGTCTAGAGCAGCTTAGACCTTTGAATAACATGGAGTTTGAAAATGTAAAACTCATTTCTAAATTATGACTCCAGTTAAGGAGCAATTCCTTAAATGACGTGCAGGGTGGTCAACCTGATTTTATGCTGAAAGTTGGTAAACTTTTCATGCAAGTACTTTGCAAGGTGTAAGTACATTACATAAGCTGTTTCTACAGGGATAGTAACTACTTCCTGTGAGTGTTATCTCAAAAATTGAATCTGACAGTGCCCTGTTTAAGATTTATAGTATATAAAAGTAGAATGTAGAGGATAAGGTGCCTAATTTCTTAACTATGGTGAAGGAGCTGACCGAAGCTTTAAAAGACCAGTATCCTTGTTTTAACTTAATTTTTATTAGCTAATAACTTATTGGATAAGATTTTTAAATTAAGCATAGCTTTAAAAAAAGTCTTTTAATTGAAGTTCCTTGAAATTTTGAGTACTCAAACTTTGTGAAAGATGTTTGGTTTATTTTTTATCTTGTGTGTGTTTTAATTTCTTCTGCTTTTTATTTATACTATCTCTATGTTTTGAATTTTTTTTTACGCTGAAGTGACCTGGTAAAGTTTGGATTCTTATTGTAATGACTATTCCTCACCTAAATAGCATTTGTTTTCATGTTAAAAAACACAAGCCTACAAATGTTGAATTGTTGCTAGCCTTATCACCGCTGAAAAACAATGCCCTTAAGCCAGGTCTAATTTCTGCAGACTAGCATTTTAAAATTTCCATCTTATTTCTTGTTTTGCTTTCTTAACAGTTTTGAGGTACTTAGAGTGATGGTGACTAGGTTATTTTGGAGGGGAAAAGTAGACTGTTGTCTCTGAAATGTAGAAACATTTACCAAATCCTTTTCATATTGAGCTATCTCAGAGTTTTCCTTGTTCTCCACATTAGTTGTGTACCTTTTTGCTTGTTGGACTAAATTAACTAGGCACCCTCTTGGAAACTGAGCTTTGATATAAGATCTCCCAGGTAAAGTTGTTTACTACCTCTTTCATAATTCTACTTATGATCAGGGATGTTAAATCAAAACGAATATAACAGTATACAACTTTGTGAGATTTAATGTTTTTGAAATTTTTGTCGATAATCTTGATCTGTTTGGGTGTAGTTAAGGGTCTGGCTAACTAATTGCATATTTTAACTGAAAGCACTTAAATGTCTCCTTAAGCACATTTTTTGGGTTGTTCTTTTGAATCAGAGAATTACTTTTTGAGTTCTTAGGGTGAACGTTTAAAGTTGATATTGAAAACAATTCAACAAACAAGTTACTAAGCATCTGATATGTGCAAGACATTGTGTTAGGCACCCCTGTCCCAATAGTGCTTACATTTTAGTGGAAAATTTAGGAAAAGTTAACATTATTTGAGGAATAATTAACAAAATGTGGTTGAATACTTTTAAAAATTGAGTACCTTTTGTTTGTATAGCTCTTTTCAAGGTATAAGTTGCTCTTAAGATTAGTAAAAGTCTTAAAAGTGTTTTGTTTTTTTTTGTCCATTTTACTGAGCCTTAACAACAAAACCAGCACTTGTGAATTGTTTAGTGTTTGTGAGTCACGGTCCATACAACTGAAATGGTGCGAAGCCTCCATCTGTTTGTCTTCTGGCTTGTGTTGTTGATGTTATTTCCCAATTCATTTTAGTTCTCTGAGAAACCTGGTTAGAGTAAAAAATGTTGTCATAACCAAGCAATTTAGAATTGTACCATCAACATTCGCTTTTAGATTGAGGTTTCTTATACAACTGTGTACCACTTTTCTGTCAAAAAGCTTACTTTTTACTTTCTGGTGATATCAGATATCAGGCCTAATGCATTTGCCTCAAGACCTTTTAGATTTGGACTGAAAGAGGTTGGTGCTCGGCCTTAGTATAAACTCCAGGCACTCTGAATTTTGATCCTGTATTGTACGGACAGTAGATTACTTTAAGAAAATAGGAAGCAAAAGAACTCTTTGCTGATATTGCACAGAAATTAAATTCAAGTGGTTTTGTTTACATGTTATTATTTTTTCATACCACGTGTCAAATATTTATTCAGGGAGCTTTGTTTTCATATTTTAAACTTTTAAATCTTGTGTTTAGGCTATCTAATCTTATAAATTGGGAACTGATACTGAGAATTGTTAGGATTTTCATTGTTAATCATTTGCCACTTTTTAACACTATTGTGACTTAAGTGGCATCTTCTACCTAGAAAATTTATGATGAAGTACTATTCCTACTTCATTCCACTTCTATTAATATGCATTTAAGTCCCAAAATTTTTGTTCTAAAATCAAGCTTGTAAGTTATTCTAAATTTAAGATTCTGTGAGTATGGTAATACTTGACTAAATTGACCTCTTAGTCTGAATAAACTTGAGTGTTGTAAAACCTTGAAAATCTTCTGATTTAGCTACTTTGAAGGAATTTTAGAAGAACCTTTGTTTTGTTATTGTTTGCACTTGAACTCAACAGGGATTGGCCCATTCATTCAATTTCCAGATTGAACTGGAAGGCCTTTAGTAGTAGAAGCTAGGTGGGAATAACTACTCTCTTTTACTTTGTTTTTGAATCCAGTGATTAGCTACAGTGCTGCCTAGATGCAATAATTAACCACTGATGTTAACCTTTCATTATCACAATTTTGTGATGAATTATCTAAAGATAATAATTAGTAATGACATCATTAGTAATAACCCCTGTTAGGTACTAGCTGGTTCCTTGAGAACCTGATTTCTACCTTAGCTCTTGATCTGAATTTTCTTCCTCAGTGAAAAATAGTTATTGGAAGAATAGTATTGAAATGTCGACTAATGCTGCCTTGATTTAGAATTTTCATTTCATTGATTCCAGCTTGGCTGCTCTGGTGAAAATTGGTAGAGCTGTATATCTCTATCTTATAGGGGCCCAAACCCCAGCAACAGGCAGTCACCTTGCCTCTTTTCTAGGGAGCAAGTGACATTACTTTCTCTCAAAGGATCATAGAGATCATAGAATTTAATGTTCAAAGGGAACCTTAGAGATCATTTAGTCCAACTCCCTCATTTTACAGTTGAGAGTTAAAGGGTTTTTTCCAAGGTCACACAGGTAGCAAGTGATACAGAGTTGGATTCAAACCCAAATCTTGATTCCAAATTCAATGTTCTTTCCACTACAACCAAGCTATCTCACTTTGTATGCCTTCAATATATCCATGTTTACCTCACTGTGCTAACTGTCCTCCATGTTCTGTAGGGCCTGGAATATGGGTATTTGACAAGTTCACCTGGCTAGCATGTTTATTTCAAAGTTTTCCTTAAATTTATTGCATGACTGCACTAAACCTTTTTTTTTTTTAAAAGAAATCCTAATTATAATGGCAAAGGTACAAGTTGAAGTGAGATGAGAAATTTTTTATAACTACAATCATGTGGCCTTCATGAGCATTTTCATATATTGAGAATCACACCTGGTAATTATTTGCAGCACTTTAAAACTTGTGAAACAAAGTTTACATGTTATATAGCACTCTCCAAGATCCTCACTAAAACCAATAAATGTATGTGTTGAGCTGCCAATAATCAGCTCTTTTCTCCTACCAATATGTGTTGTATTTCAGTAGCACAACATTCTATTATTGTGTCAGCATTGCATTTCAGCAGCTATTCGGAGCATGCTGTTCCCTAGCATTCAAAATGTTTCTTAATACACTGCTATAATGTGATTGTTCATGTATCTTTTTACAATACAGTATTCAAGTTTATTCTTGCAGTGCAGACTGCTGAGGCAACTGTTCTGAAAAGAATAGATTATTAAAATCTTTATTCTTTTTTAAAGCTAAGTAAAACAGGTCATTTGTGGGATGGGGTGCTGGGAGGGATTCAGGTATTAATGGACTTGAAAGTTTCATTTTATTTATAGACATTGTATCTTTTAATATCTATAAATAAAACTGAAACAAATATTCATTTGAATAAGCTATGAAATCCTAAGGTTTTGAATAAATTTGGGAATTGAAGTTAATTTAAAGATAGGGGACGATACGCTGAATTATCTACTTAATTGCTGCAAATAGTACTTTGGCAATAATTTTTAAGCATCTAGTTTACAAAGTATGCAGAACTCTTGATTGTGAAGGGAATTTGGGGGGATTTTTAGTTGTCAGGGTTTTGTTTTGTTTTGTTTTTTTGTCTAGACCTTTGATTTCATCACTGTAAGGACTTGCCTTTCTTTACCAATGAATCTATAATTTATAGTCTTAAAGCATTGCCTAGGAGCACTTGGGAAGTTTAGTGACTTGTCCAAGGTCACACAGTCAAAAAAACCACACACACACACACACACACACACACATATACATATCAGGAAAGAATTAAACTCAGGTCCTCCTGACTCAGAGGACTTCTCTCTATCCCTTACACATCAGTTTTAGTGTGTTAAATGATAACACATTTATTGAAAAGGTTTTCCCCTCTTAATAAACAAGATCACACTGTTTTTGTTTACCAAATCATCAGCATATAATTTACTGCATTGATTGTAATTTTGTGTGGGTGCTAATTAAGGTCTTCAGCTAGTGTGAATTTAAAGGTTAGCTTATTCTTAAAAAGGGATCAGTGAAGAAAGAGAAGGATGATTGTTACCAAAACTAAAGAGAATCTGGTCTGGAATGGATGAATTCCTAATACTTATAATGCTTTTCAGAAAGATGATTATTTCAGGCTATCAGGAGAGCAATAACTTTTGTGTTGTACCACCCATCTCTCTCTGTGGTTGGTTTCTGAGTAAAGAAAAGTCCATATGTGGAAAAATCTTCAATTAAAGCATAAAGTTAAATTTAAGTGTTTCTTATGATGCCTTTTTATATTTATGCCCTTTTTCAAAAGGCAAAATCATACCAAGTGTAGGTTAAGTGGTGAAGACATATAGTTGAGTGATAGGAATAATAGACTAGCTTGTGATACCAAGTTAAATTTAAGGAAATCTTAACTCAGAGGATTTCTATTAATATTACATGAAAACTTTGTAATGGGTACAGCGTGTATTTTATTTTGTAGCTCAAGAGCGCCATAAAGGTCCAGGTAGCCTAATTCTTGTTAATTTTCCAATTTACCTCTGTGCCATATAATATATTACAGGAAATTCCATATACTTAGCAAAAACATAATGGTGGCTTTGGAGGAAGGGGAGGGGTAATTTTTCTAATAACTTAATTCAGCCTTGGCTCTTGTTAGGAAATATACATAGGAAACAGTATTTGCCAAAAAGAAATTGTGGTCAAGTATGTAAATTTCCTGTCTTATAGCTTTCAGATTAGAGTAGGTAGAAGTGGAGGCTTAGGAAACAAAATGAATGGAATTAGTTAGGAAAAACTGCCGCATGTCGCTGCTTTGGAACATGACTTAAAAGAGCAGTGGAAAAATTTAAACCAGGAGTCAATTTTGTATGCTTAAATTTTCTTAGATTAAAAGCATTTTCCTTTGGAAGATTGATTATTTTGCCTCTTGTTTTGACTTGGCTAATTCAGGTTGTTTTCCCCACAAAGATTTTTAATATGCTGCTACCAGGAAAATGTCTTGTATCATCACAGAGCCTTTATGTAACTTTGATGTTGCCAAGATGCTTTGATTTTAATTATAAAGTTGTATGATTTTAAATAACTGAAAGATGTATGTATGTATGTTTGTAGTGACTTGTTATGAAAGAATAAATTAAACAATCTGAATTGGAGTGTTTGTCAATTTAATTTTTTTTTTTTAACTACACCCAAACCAACAATCTGTTGTTTTGTTTTTATCAAAAGTCAGTAGACCACAGCTTTGACCTATGAACTGTATTCTACCAACATTTACTTGCCAGGTGGAATCTTAATGACTATTTTCCTGAACTCTTTCTTTTTTGTTTAACACTGAAAGGCATTTGACACTTCCAGTCACTTTTAATGTCTTGTCATCTTCTGAAAGTGACGATGGAGGGATGGGAGACTGATTGCTTATTTCTCTAAGAAACACATTAAAAGTCTGGAGTGTCATGAAAGCCCAGGGACATGAATCAGTTTGAAGATAAAAACATTTGGTTGTTGCATGGGATGATGGTCAATTAGTTTTATACTGGGTCTGAATATTAGACTTAATTGTCAGCTTGGGGAATGCTATTTATTTGGGATAGGACTGTTATTTATCAGGAACTGGCCTACCTTAGTGATACTCATTTTTGCTGGTGGTAGATTAGCCCACCTTTCCCTAAGCAGGTAGTGATAAAATTGTCATAAGGATAGGGGATAGGGCATAGACCTGTGATTCCCAAAGCAATATAGACAAGTAGAATTGATGGGAACCTTAAGAAAAAGTGAACATTCAATCTTTGGAATTTGTGATAACGAAGGAGAGGAAAGCCTAGAGAGAGTCTGAAATACACCTCAGGTTTTTGGATACTGTGCTTCAAAGAGTTTAGAGCAAGTATAGGTAGGACTCCAGGTGCTAAAATCATTTAGGTGAATCCAACCCAAGAGGAATGAGAAGCTCTCATGAGTGAAATTCTAAAGATACAAAGGGAAACAATTTTGATGAGAATTTATAGAGGTGACTGCCCAGTAGATTCACATGTAAACTCTTGGGTGCAAAAAGAATTCTCCAACTTTTATTTTGAAAAGACACATGTAGATAATGTAAGTGAAGACAGCCAACAGGAAGTTTACAGAAACATGGCACAGTAAGTATAGTGAGTGTCAAGAATGTCCCAGCTCAGAATAAGCTGAGGTTAGCCATGAATGGAAAAAGCTAATGTGATTTTAGGCTATGTTATATGAGAGCATTGACATCCAAAAGTAAGAATGTAATAGTATTGCTATACCCTACCCTGATCTGACTGTCTAGACTCTAGAGTATTGTATTTCATTTGGGGCCACATTTGTAAAATTGGAGAGGATTCAGAGGACAGTGACTGATGGTGAGAGCATTGGAGATTTGTTTCCAAGAAACAGGGAATATGGAACCTGGAGAAGAAAAGAATTCAGTGAAACAGTCTATGTAACTTTAAACATTTAAATGTTCACTATATAGAAAAGGTTAGATTTGTTTTACTAGATCCCAGAGAGCAGACCTAAAAGAAACTAGTGAGCATCAAAGAGAGGCAGATTTTGGCTTGATTTAAGGAAAAATTTCTTAACAGAGCTGTCTAAATAGTGAATGAAACTCCTGCCTCAGAAGTTACTGGGTTCCCTTTTACTACCGTTCTTCTGAAGAAGACTAGATGACCCTTTATTGGCCATGTTCTAGAGGGGATTCTTATGCAGGTATAGGTTATATCAGCCTCTGAGGTGTCTTTGAACCCTGAGATTTGTACATATACTCCATAGCAAATACCAGCTTCCCCTAACCTGCTCGTATGTTGCTTCTCCTTTCAAGGTATGACCTTACTTTCTGCCACTAACCTGTGAGACCCTGGATAAGTAATTCTTACTTTCCTGAACCTCAGTTTTTGCATTTGTAAAATGAAGGTGCTAGGTTAAATGATACTTTAAGTCCCTTTTGACCCTTTCACCACCCATAATTGCTTTGTCCCATCCCATCTGGGAGAAAAGATACTAGATTTATTCCTTAAGAAAACAAAAGACGAATGGAATGGACACTTTATCCAAACCTAAAGAAAGGTTGGGACATTTCATAAACACCCACTGAGACCTAGATTTTTTTTAAAAATCATACCAAGTTAATTGATGATTTGAGTAGAAGAAACACTAAGAATTTCTGGAATTTCTTCTCAAATGGATTACAGCAATTTATCCAACAATCCATTCCTTATGACGTCTATGATTTACTCAAGGATGGTTGTTAAACATGAAAACAATTACATTAAAAACAAAATCATCCAAATCCATGATTATCTCAACATATGAATAAAAAGCCTTTGACAAGATACGCACTCGTTTACAAAAAGTAGAGCTGTAGAGGGATCTTTTTAACAACACAAAAGGTATCTAAAACCAAAAGTAAGCACCATGTTTCAGATGAGGATACACTAAAAGCTTTCCCAGTCAATGTAGGAGTAAATCAAGAATGACCATTCTTTCTGCTAGTATT